TATAGACACACGCCAACAGAAGGCATAGTAAGGAAGAAAACAGGTCGTGCCATTCACCATTCTGATTCATAGTCATGCTATAAAAATCAAATGTATGTTCCCTTACATTTCCACTCTTTAAAATGTAAGTTGAGTAACCTGCAAACTTAAGAAGTAGATAGCATATATAAATATGGTCATTAGACCATTTATATGCATTTTTTTCTGCACAGCTGATTCCCAGAAATAGCAGACATATTATTTGCAGATATATAGATTAGCAGATATTAAAAAAAAAAAAAATAGGTTTTCTTTTTACTCTGAAAAAATGTTAATGCTGTCCATGACTGGGGTTAAATCTTGTGAAAGATCACAGCATGACAGCATTACCATTTTCAGATGGTCGGTGTTCTTCAAGAAATATCCACTGCCAACTCTTCCTATCGAATGCCTCTACGATATTGAGTTCCTGTGTCTGGATTCTTTAAAAAAGTAATAAAATAAATGTAGCTGCACTAGCAAGTTCACTGGCTTCAAATATAACAAAGTATTGCGATAAGCTGAGTGGTATAGCATTAGATAATTTACCAAACAGCAGTAAGAGATTACTTCTTGCCAGAGGTTAAAATAGAAAAGGAAGCTCAGCCTGGCTGCTGTCATAAAAGGACTCGATGTCTAGTGATGATTGAGCATTTTCATCACTTGCATGTGTTCAATTTCCCAAGGAAGAGTTTCATTTCCTTGGTAAGAAAAAAATAACTCTCTCTTGACATTTAATTCCTTCTGTTATGAAGGAAGTCAGACTACCTCATAATTGCCTTTTCTATCTCCAAAATTCATGATAACATGAATTACAGAATATTTCTTTGGAAAAAATATCTCAGTTGGTCAGATACTGTGTATATAAAGCTGGAGCTGACTTAGCTCAACCTTCCTACTGCCACCTCTTAGGATCAAGACACCATGTCACTTTAACCTTGGTACAGAATTTCCTTTTCTGATAAAACCGATGAATATAAGGGAAGGCTCAAGAGTCCTAAGCTCAGAGCAAAAATTCTGCAATTTGGAAGAGTTTCAACTCTCTTTCAAACAAGAAGTAGAAGGAGGAACAACTTGAATGTGAGAAGCCATGGAGCTACCTACTATTGAGATGTGCAGCAAGGAAGAAGGCTTCAGTTCCTGATTTTTCCCCTGTCATCACAGAATGGTTTGGGTTGAAAGTGAACTTAAAGACCATCTAGTTCCAACCCCCCTGCCATGGGCAGGGACACCTTCCACTAGTCCAGGTTACCCAAAGCCCCACCCAGCCTGGCCTTAAACACTTCCAGGGATAGGGTATTCACAACTTCTGTGAAAAACCTGTTCCAGTATCTCAGCACCTTCATCACAAAAAACATTCTTCCTTATTTGATTCCTTATCAGAATCTGGCCAGTGTCGTCTTCTGCTCATGTATATTGGCCTAAATCACCACACCCTCCCCTTTCTCCATCATCTGTATTTTGCAATACAGTGTCTTCCTAGATTCTTCCCTTACCTTTAGGTGCCTCTGCTTTTCTTTTACTGAATGGATACAATATAAACTGCCTCTTTACACCTGAAAAGCAATTTAATAAAGAGGAGAAATAGCTAAGGAGTGGACTTCGCTTAGTTCTGCAGTCTCTTTTTGTCCATTTACCCTCCCCTAATCCCTGTAGTTTCTGGAATCTATAGCATTCAGTATAGAGAAATAACAGCATTTACTTTCTTGTTTCTTTTTAAGATGACCTACAGTGGTCTCTTTTGACTACTTCCAATGGAGAAGATTGGGCCAGGCATTATAGTAGGCAAGACAGTGCACACACACCTGGAATCCACATCCAGCCAGAGCTTTGCCACACCCAACCAAGCTCACTTTGGTATTTTATTACTCCAGAGCTTTAAATTTGGTATATAGCTATAGTTCCAGATGTAGGTCAGAGCACAGCCCCAAATAGCCAGCCAGGCTGGTACCAGCCTGCAGTTCAGCTGAAGTTCAGAAATCCTTAAGGCAAAAAGAGAAAGGAACCATTACTCCAGCCTAGCTGCTGTAACATTCCTCTTGGTAGACAATCTCAGCATTTTAGACACAACAATTAACGGTAAAATAAAGAAATGGCCCTGAGCTCAGGGATTGGATCCCCCTGTTGCTCTGTGGATGCCATGAGCACCGAGCACTGCTTCCGTTTGTTCTCATGCTCATCCAAGAAATGTTCAGGACATTTTTCTAGTAGTGGCATCACTTCATACAGATTGGGTAGGGAGTATTCAAAGTACCTTATGATCCATCCCCCCCAAAAAACCAGAGATGTTTCCCCCTGCATGCGCAGCTCTGAGTCCCTCTCTGGGAGAAGCAGGAATTGAATCTACATCTTCTACTTTGAAAAGTGCCGTCACCACCATATTGGTGGCAAGAAAGAAGTGGACACTACCTTCCATTTCCCAGTTCTGTTTTAACTGCTACTGTCCCCTGTGAGAATCCTGGTGCTCTTCAAAGGCATCCTCCAGCTCCATCTCTCTTAAAGGAAGACCTGCCTTCTGGAGCCCGCGTAAGCTGAGATGCGAGCTAGCACCACGTTCTGCAGAAGTTTGAGCTTCCACCTCTTTATGCATAGGCCTCCGGAGAAGGGGGAGGGAAGTTTAATTTCATGTAAACCAGCTGGCATTCCTCAACAGCATTTTCGGTAGCATAGTCCTGCCCTTGCAAAAGCCCCTTCCGTGGGGATCCATCTGTGTCCCCACCGCAGGGTGGCACCCTCGCTTCCTGCCCACCGGTCAGGCGGCACCTCCCCTTCCCAGGCCGCTCCTCCCAGCCAGCGGCAGCAGCTCTGCTGGTTCCCCAGGTTCTGCTGTGAACTCCCCTGCCAGCTCCGCACCCGCTTGCCTCAGACCCAGTAAAGGTCAGGAAAGGGGAATTCCCTCTCCAGACCTTTCGGCCCAGCCATGCGCCTTTCAAACTCCTCTTACGCTGCACACTAGACAAGCCAGCTTCCCTCCCCCTCCAAAAAACACCACACAGAAAAGCTCCAAAACATGAAAATCCAACTAAGGTTAAAAAATTTCCTAAAGGGAAGCAGCATTCTCACCTTTGTCTGCAGGTGTTGGAAATGAGGAGGAATTCCGAACCAGATTCCCAGAATACAGAGCAGACATCAGGACACTGTGTGGGTTGGTGATACAACCAGCTTAAGCTTCAAAACAGGCCACCTAGATCAGTATAATTTCACTACGGTTTTGGTTTAATCAGATATGGCAGGGGCCCCCAAAAAAAAAAAAGAAAAAAAAAAAAAAAAAAAAAAAAAAAAAAACAAAACAACCCCAACCAACCAAAACAAAACAAAAAACCAGCAAATTTTGTGTTCCTCAAGACAGCAACCAATCCCTGCTTTTCCAGTAGCACCAGAGCAACAGGTTCAAAGCCAGAGTACAGTCCAGAAGGTTAGGTTTAAAAGAAACACAAATATTTGAAGTTCAGTGCAAACATCATTTATAGCCTTAGGAAAATCTATAGAACGTGTGTGCGCACTCTTAAGGTAAACCTTGAATCAAGAATATTATTTAAAAAAAAAACCTGCATCTGATACCATCATAAAAAGTCCTCTGCAACATTAATGAAAAGGAAAAACAATCAGTTTTTCAAGTACTCTGAGAAGGTACAGTCTATACTTTAAAGATGTACTATACTTAAAACAGGAAACTAAACCAGAGGTCACAGGCTGTTAGCATATTGAGGACTTCAAACTTCACTGTATGGCACTAAATCTGAACAGCTAAAGCTTGCACTAAGCACAGAAACACATAGGAGCAAACACATTTTAAGCAGATTTCTGCAATTTCGCCAAAAGCTACTTTTACCGATTGCATTTCCTCTTCTGGCACATCCAGAATTTACTTATTAATTTGCTTAAGCTAGCTAAGATTTCCTGACCTAAATGCATTTTACTGAACTGCTGCCTTGCTCTCACAAAACTGTAGCGTCAATTGATTAGAAAGTGATGCAGTTAATGGTAAAAACAGTAATCAGGACAAAATTCAGATAAAATATTTGCACTTCAGAAAGTAAAAATCTCCGCCGGTATAATAAGAACAGCTCTAATGAGCTAAGGATGAAAATACACAATGTCAGAAAACATCATCTAACAAACACTCCTTGTGAAATTTAACTGAAGTCACCATATTTAAATATCAAAGAATGAAAATGCATAATAAATCTCACTACACTGGGGATGCAAGCATAGACTACATTCCTGATACTATTCTGGAAAATGATCTTTAACTGCACTTGCACAGCATAAAATATTAAACTCAAAGAACTTTTCAGATTCTACATTCTGGTGATTTTGTATTAGTAAAGCAATGGTAATGACACAGTTGTCTACTGAATGGAGACTTTTGAACCAGAAACACAACAGAGTATCTAATCTCAATTCTGACAGGAAATCAAAGTGAGTAAAATAATAATGTTTTGTAACCCTTAATGGGCTTCTGAAAGGGCTTTTTTTTCTTTCTTTTTTTCCTTTCCCCCCCTTTGTCTTAAAAGATACTATCTGTCTCAACTTGCTATTGCAGTAGGCAAAGAACTCAGTGGAATTTCAGGAGGAAGTTCCAGCAAGAAATAAACACACCAGGTCAGGAATTAGAAAGAAACACTTTCTTCATGGAAGACCAAACAAGGGGTCTTGAAATTATATCAAGATAAAGGGGATGGATGGCCTTTCCAGCTGCAGCCTGTAGGCCAAACTGCACTAATCACAGAGGACAACATCTGGACACATACAATTGTTGTCGAGATAAGAGACACACACAACTTGCAAGATGAGTTACTGCAAATAAAACATTAAAAAAATAAAAATGAAGAAAAAAAAGGTAAAGTGACATTCAAGTGGACTGAAATGTCTGATACTGGCTTTATATCTACCCATGACTTAGGTCCACCGAATTCAAATGAATTAGTCAAGACATTCTTATCTGCAGCACAAATAAGTCATGTAAAAATACACATTTTATTATGTACATTCAGAGGCTAAAGTTAATTTAAATTGATACAGTTTTTCCTTCTTCACTTCCATCTTTTACCTCATGATGTTCTGCTGCTGCTTCCAAATATTTTTCTTCAGTGACCTGCGGAAACATAACAATTCTATTACGCTTTTAAACACAAATTAATTCTCCTTGATCATGGAAATCCTCCCCTCACACTGTCACTATAACAAGAAAGGGCAAACTACAAAGGCAGTTATTGTCTCCAACATCAGATGACCTGAATGACAAGCATCTTCAAACTAATTTCATAGAAAAATATCATGTGTTGGGCTCTCGGCACATCCTTGGCTTACAAGTTACAGCAGACATATAGCATTTGCTTCTCTCTCTCTTGCCACAGAAGCAAGTAAAACATTTGATCTGAAGGCTCCAAAACATCTGCTGTTTAATTCTTATGAGTATTTCCCACATTTAAGCATGCTTGGAAAGTAAGTCTCTGGTTATACGCTGCTTATGATATTTTATAGTTCCATCTACATTAAAAACTTGCCTTTTGCATTTATTCAGTCATTCTAAAGCTTCTCTTGGGTAAGTAAGTTCCAACTTTGAAACACTGGTTGTTTAACAGAAGTATGCTGGCAAGAAACTTATTTTCCATGTAGGTTTTAAACAGGCAAAAAATACTCAAACTAGTGCATTTATGCAGCTTACTGAAACAGCATTCCCTTTTATCTCCAGTAACCTCCAGCTCGGTTCACCCAGTGGTATCAGATTTTTATTCCTGCATTTACTTGCAAGAAACATGTTCGTATGTGTTCTCTCAAACCTGTGGCAGAAAACTTGTTACTATACCTAAAACCTAGGAAAGTGTAAACACATTATTTCAATTTTCAGTTTTCTTATTTCATGTTCACAATTAAAACAAGAAAAAATAATTTTAAATTTTACACCACATGATACCAACTAATTCTAGAGATGAATTTAAAAAAGTACTAACGTTGTTTAAAGTGGTAATTAACAACAGCTTAGAGATTTCATGTGCATCTGATTTTTCTTCACCTGTGAACAATTCCATTCCTAAAGGTATGTTCTTGAAGACACCATCCACCTCTAATCATCAAGTTCTACTCTATCACAGCATATCTTTGTATTTCACAAGCTGTACTTCACTGCTAAGGAGACTTACCAGCCTCTTCGATCTTTCCAGCAGTTTGTGCCACACGATGTGGTGAGCCTGTATTAAATGTCATTAAATGATGTTATTGGAGGCCAAAAAACCCAAAATCTTCTCATAGAATAAATTCTGACAAGCGTATAGAAACAATAGCACAACACCGTAACAATCCCTAATTCAGACATTAGAGCTTATGATTTCAGCATCCGGTTTGCCCACATTTCTTTGGGGGACTTGAATAAATGTCTGCTGATCACATCCACTTGTTGTGTGGAATCATTGAGGGAGCAATGGGCAAAAAAGGGAATTAAAATCTTATGACGAGGAAGGGTACAGAGAGACGAGGTGAGGAACCCAGCGCCCACTTGTCTCTCGAAAACTTCCCCAACCGAGAAAGCAGCGCGTGTGCTAGCCCACCGGTCAAAATCGTATGTCAACAGAAACGGGAAGAAAGACTCCTGCCTCCACCTATAGTTCTGCAAAGCCTTTGTTTAAGTTTAAGCCTAGCCTAGTGCTAGGACTTTTTTTGTTATTGTTGGGTTTTACTTTGATACCATGAAATACTTTGAAATTATATCCTTTATCACGAGTATAAATTCAAAGTTCTGCTCTTTCCTGAACCTGAATAAACACTGTCAGCAGCCTCCATTTCAGAAGATGGGCATGCACAACTAACTAAGGCAAGGTGAATGAAGTATCCAAGTGGAAATTGCACAACCAAAACAGCACTTTCAGTACTGATCAACAGCATCAAGGGTCTCTGATGCAAACTTTTCTAGTTCTGATTTCACATCCCCAATAGTTCGAGGAAAAAGAACCCCAAATACCCACCACAGTCCTCATCACGGGCCTTCCCCTTCTGCTACCGTTCTCACCTCTGAATTACCAGCACGGCGTATAATAAAGACTGGAAAGTAAGCCAAATGCCTTACCTTAAAGAAGGAAAACCCGTACAAAATGGAATAGTTACCTTCAAATGGACTGGCAGGGACACACCCTGGAACCTCCTTATCAATTCAGACTGGTTAGTCTGAAGATTATGGGCTGCCGTTATCTCGTATTGGAAACAGAAACTTGTCCTTGGAATATGAGGGCCTTCACTAACATCTACAAAGTCACCAAACCTGATGGGAAAAACAACCCCAAAAACCTATGTCAAATACATTTGAAAAGAAGTACAAGCCCATTTGGGTTTAGTTTTGATTAGCAAATTCCTGTCTACAGAACAGATAAAAGAAAATCCACACAAATCCCAAGTCCAGCATTTCTAGGTTTCCTGAAGCAAATGTAGAGGTCACAAAATTTCCTAAAATGCATTTACGAAATTTAAACTTCAAGCCTAGAAAAAGGATCCTAGGTTTAACAAATCTTTGAAGCCATGTTGGCTTTAAAAGTGGGATAATTTTGTCATTCACCAGAAAAAGATTTGTCTCCAAGATCACACATTTTCCACAGTACAGTGTTTACAACCAGCACAGGTATTTCCCTTTCAGATCTTCGAAAACTACAAATCAATTAAGAAAAGCGAGAGACAAAAAGATGTACAGCGAAAGAACACTCAGAACAAACCTCTCCCAGGAATCAACAGGCAAGTCCATTTTCCCTCTTATGGAGCAAACTAGAGCGAGGGAGGAAGGAGGAACAGACACAACATCGTTCTAAAATTTCAGGAACCACCACTGCAAAGACATCTGTTCCTTTAGAGAGGTATGGACTCCAAAATCAAATGCAGATCAATCTAGACATCTAGACAACTAATAGTCACAGATTCTTTTATACGCCCAAGATACAACAGAAGCTTCCTGACTCCAGCCTAAGAACTCTGTATCTTACACTGTATCCCAGGAGCCAGCTTCATTCTCATCTCCACCACTACAAGGCGGTAGTTTGCCAGTTAGGAAGATCCTGACAACTTTGGAAGAAAAATGCTAACTCTTGTTTTCAAACAAGTATTTGGTTTTCACTTGATTTAACCTGTCAAGCTCTAGAGATTTATTTAAATGGTTTTTAAATTTTAAAATTTAAAATTTTACATAAAATATGTAAAACAATTTAAAGCAGTAAGACTTCTCTGGTACTTACCACCTTTAACATAACAAGAAATAGCAATGTAGTGAGATCCACCAAGTGTTAATATCGCAAATCAATGGCTGTATAAAAAAAAACCCAAACAAACCACAACACTCAAACAACTTAGGGCAGACTACAGACAGCAATGAATACAAGCGATTTCTGAACTGAAAACCATCACAAGTAACTTACTCTTCTCACTTGCAGGAAGTACTTGCAACATAATCAAATCTTTCAGTGAATCGTAATAGAATGAGGGTTCAGTTTTTCTCACCTATGTAACGTTACAATTCCTTCCATATTCTCAGAGGCTTTCTGTTCTATCATCTCCATTTTGTATCTGAACAAGACAAAAACGATCTTAAAAATCCTTACTTTTAACACCTAGTTCTTATAAGAATACTTATGGAATTGATTTAAGGAGCATTCTTAAAAATCATGCTTGTATTTATGCGTGCTTTTAAAAAGGTTTAAAATTCTTAATTTTGTCTAACAGCACATACTCACACATTTCATGAAGCATGTCATACAGACCTGTTAGTTTAACCTCAGTTCCCGGAAAAATTATGGAAAAGATTATACTGAGTACTACTGAAAGGCATTTAAAGAATAACACAATCATCAGGCACAGTCAACAGGGGCTCACAAAGGAAAGTCCTGTTTAACTAATTTCATGTCCTCTATGATAAGGTCACCTGCCTCGTGGACGAAGGGAAGGTGATGGATGTAGTTTTTCTGGATTTTGGTAAAGCTTTTGATACTGTCCCTCCCAGCATCCTTCTGGACAAGTTCATGGTGCACTAGGTGAAGAACCGTCTGAAGGGCAGAGCTCAAAGGGCTGCAGTGACTGGGGCTACATCTGGCTGGCGACCGGTCACCAGGGGTGTTCCCCAGGGTTCAATCCTAGGGCCAGTTCTGTTCAATGTATTTATCAGTGATCTCGGTGCAGGAGTTGAAGGCACCATTAGCAAGTTTGCTGACGATACCAAACTGGGAGGTGCTGTTGACTCTCCTGAGGGGCAAAAGGCCTTGCAGAGGGACATAGAGAGATTGGAGCACTGGGCCATCATCAGTGGCATGAAATCTAACAAGTTCAAGTGCTGGATTCTGCACCTAGGACAGTGATGTCAGGCACAAAGATACATCGGGAGAGGAGTGGCTGGAGAGCAGCCCTGCAGAAAGGGATCTGGGGGTGCCAGTTGACAGCAGGCTCAGTGGGAGTCAGCAGTGTGCCCTGGCAGCCAAGAGGGCAAACCGCACCCTGGGGTGCATCGAACACAGCGTAACCAGCCCGTCAAAAGAGGTGATTCTCCTGCTGTATTCAGTGTTGGTGCGGCCTCACCTGGAGTAGTGTGTGCAGTTCTGGGCCCTGCAATTTAAGAAGGATGTGAAGGTGCTTGAACGCGCCCAGAGGCGGGCAACAAAGCTGGTGGAAGTTCTGGAAGGAATGTCCCATGAGGAGCAACTAAGGACTTTGGGGGAGGTTCATCTAGTTTGGATAAAAGGAGGCTGAGGGGCAACTCCATTGCTCTCTACAGCTCCCTGAGGAGGGGAAGTGGAGTGGGAGGTGCTGAGCTCCGCTCCCTGGGATCCAGTGATAGGGCGCATGGGAATGGTTCAAAGCTGCAATGGGGGAGGTTTAGAATGGACATTAGGAAACATTTCTTTACCAAGAGGGTGGTCAAACACTGGAACAAGCTTCCTTAGAGGGGTGGTTGATGCCCCCAGCCTGTCAGTGTTCAAGAGGCATTTGGACAATGCCCTTAACAACATGCTATAACTTGGTCAGCCTGCAGTGTTCAGGCAGTTGGACTAGATGACCATTGTAGGTCCCTTCCTACTGTAACAGTCTCTTCTAGCCTATTCTATGTATATGTTATAGGAGGGCCATGCTCTCTCAGCAGAGTTTTATTCAAAAAGATAAAATGAACCTACTACTTCAAATAAAAATGAAGAGTTTCTCAAGACACATGTACGACTAGAAGACACTATGAGATCACCTAAACTGATTTTATGCAACGTGTGGCCCTCAACAGCTGGTCACCTGCAAGACAGCAAAGTGTTCTCTGCTCTTACTACACATAAATACATACACAATATCTGAAGCCATTATCAAAAGGCAGCACCCACCTGCTGTCAATGCTTGCCAGCCAACACAGCAAAGAGATGCTAGTCTGTATGTCACATTAATATCATCTTCATTATTAAGCTAAAAAACTAGTTATTTTTGCAACTTCAGCTTTAGCATAATTTTATCTTGGTTCACAGAATGTTAAATTATTTATCATTTCCCCCCACCTCTCTCCAACAGCCAAAAAGCTGCGGACCAGAGAATTTTTTTCTCAAAAGACTGCTTAAGTGTTTTTGCAGTGAAGAAGGCTGGAGTGTGTTGAACAAGCCTAATTTTATAGCACAGGCCAGAGTATTTTACCTGTTTTCCCCTACAGAGTTCAAAAACTGCATTTCATCACATCTTCATTTGAAGATACAAAAATATGAAAAAAAAAAAAAATCTACATTTCTTTGAATAAGAAAGCCTAGCACACCAAGTCTAACCGCCAGAGCTTCAATGTAAAAGCAGTGAAATCTTGAAGCTCACTACTAAACTAAGAAGTCTACAATCTTCCCATTTGTCACAAAACTACACCCAGTAAAGGTTCCTGCTGTTGGCCTCTGGAGAGAACATTAAAAATGAAATAAAGGAGTGTGACAAAGAGAATGGAGACATGTTCATTCAGATTAGTGAGAGAAGAACCTTCTTACTTCACCTACCGCATTTTATTTTACATTTACAAAACCAAATGGAGATTTAAACTAATTTCTAATTGCCTTTCTAAAAGAAAGGTAAATTCAGACACTTACCTGTTATGCTGAAATATTTCACGTGCTACTTTTGCTTCAACTTGCAGGGTTTCAAAGGGAAGGTCTTTATGAATTAGCTTTCCAGCATCCCTTGTAAGAGAACGGAAGTTGTCCTAAAAAACAGTTGATACATACAAAACTGTCACCACTGTTTCACAGCTGTAGTGAACACACAAAGCACAGGAAACACTAAATATTAGTCAAAACAACAACGATCATCCACTATAAACCCTAAATATAAGAATATTGTTTACTATTTATCAGCAACAGACTGCTACAGATCATCACTGTTTAAATGGACTGATTCAAGGCCCAGTCAAATTGCTCAGTCAAATCAATATGCATTTTTCCATCAGAAACAATATCTATTAATTGGAGTTAAACTTCTCAGGTTTTCCCAACATGATATATACACATACAGTCTTGCTACTGTTAAATATTCATCTGTGTATCTTGTTTCCCCAGAGTCGTGACTCCACTTACAAACAACCTCTATTGTGACGGAATCAAAAGGAAAAAAGTACTGAATAATTAATAAATAGAAATTGATCACCTTGGTCCAGAAGCCAAAGCTCTGCATACTCAGATTTATTGATAAATAAGAAATTGTTATTAGGAGAAATTACAATTATAATGTCACGTAGAAAATATTTCAAACATATCTTCAACTACAAGATCACATTGAAAAAAAAATTCTGCATTGTACCAATAGTGCTTTGTTAGCCAAACACACCTCTGTTGATATTCGGGCATGAGAACATGAATAGGCACCAGACAAGTAAAACATTCGTGATCACACCAGCTACCAAATGGTTATGAGAGTTAGGTTTCAGATTCTTAGATTTACTGGAAAGCATGAAATACAAGCAAGCTATTAAGGAGAGCTTCAGCTGAATGTGCTCGCAGTTCTTTTACAACAATAAAGTGATTACGCTATTAAACCACTAGGTGAAAACACACCTATTACACACATTTTTATTTTCAGAGGGCTCTACTCACACAAAGACTATGGTTGCATCTACATAACCAGGCAAGAGCTGCTGAGCAGGAGCAGATCTGTATAGTAACAAAGATGGCACTGAGGTCCCAACAGCCACATCAGCTGGTTTTGGAATCGTATTTCAGACTAGAACCAACTCTAGCCCCACAGATCTAAACCCTGTAAGCACCTGGAGGACAACTCAAGGTTTAATTTAATCTGAAGGGAACACAGCCTGTGTGGTCTGAGAACATCCTGCGATGAGATCCAGCACGTGGTAAATGCTGAGATTAGTTTCCAAAGAGCCCTCCTGACCTAAAAAAACATACACGAGTGTGGATATACCTGACCAAAAGAAAAAAATTCACTGCCCCCTCTTCCCCATTAGAAAAGAGCCATTGGACAAGGATCCAAGGTATGTAACTTTTGGGGAAAGAAGTTATTGTGCTTACGTTTGTTGGTTTCCAGTCATTCAGTCTATTGTCCAAAATTACATCATAACAGAAAGCTCCAGAGATCACTGCAATTCCAATCCAAAAGAGAAAAATATTCACATTTGTAACAAAGTCATTGTCATAACATATTCTTATAAATATATCAAAATGAATGAGAAAAACAGAATGATCTCAAGAAATCCATCACAAAACATAAATTTTCAGCTGTGATTATACAGTTGAATGGCAGATTAAACCTGTATCGCTTTCATTTCATTTCACTAAATGAGAAAATAATTTGAAATGAGTTTTAACGTGATGTCAGTATAATACAACCCCATCAAGAAGAGAGGAAAAAAAATATATACTGCTTCCCAGAACGGCATCTAACATTGAAAGAAAAATAATATTTTAAAAATATTTAAATGTTTCATTTTTTTTTCCTTTGTATGCATCATATGCTAGAAGTAAATTTGGACTATTACACTGAAAGAGGAATTTATTGCATAGAGAAATCAGACAGTATTAAAGATGAAGTAAAATATTTATCCATGACACAAGCATGGCACAAATTTCTGATAAAAGCAACACGAATTTCTGCGATAGTCAACAGAACACTCTTTGTGTATGTTTATACTCAGTTACTGCCATCTTAGAAATCAAGCATATGAACCTAGTAAGCTCACACTATTTCTATATGCTTAGTATATGCAAGATTATTGCAAATCCTGGTAGAACTGAAATATCCACTCTACACTTACCAATCAAGACAAATGCTGAAATTGCTAAAAAGTGAAACAATTGTAGGAGGACTCCTCACGAGCAGCAGCCAACCTTCTCATATACCAAATCCATCATCACACAGGCTTTGTTATTTAAATAACCTCCCCTCTTGGGCATCTTCTCACTTTTGTAAATCTTAAGTCAGGCCACAGAGAGGCAAAAGTTGTTACTAACCCTGTTTGTACTTCAATAATCTTCCACCTTGATGCACACATCATAATTTTTAGTAACTCAAGTGCTCACAAGGATGTGTAGTTATTAGAGCAAATTTCACAAAAACTTGCCACATCTAATACCTTACCCACACAACTTCACAAGAAAAAGGTTCTACCCTTACGTTACTAACTCAACCTATGAAATCCTAAGTGGTCTGAAACTCAGTTGCCACACAGACCAGTTTTCGGTATGTGGATAACAAAATTGTTTTCAGCGCAATTACTATAAATTAAAGGCTACACCCACAGCATGTAGCACACATACATACTGCTAAGTACCCTCAAGCACTGGCAAAGGAGCCTTTTTTTTTTGGTAACACTATTAGACACTCACATAAAAAAAAGCAAAAGACAAGACAATCAATATAAAACACTTATATCACCTGGCACTTCTGGAGCTTTAATCAGATTCACCGAGTACTCATCTTTGAATGCCTTCTTTAACACACATGCCATGATCATGGCACAGGAACGCCAATACGCCTATAAAGAAAATTTCAAAGCACAGACTTACTACCCAGAAGCTAACAACCCACACCAGACCAGATGAACAACAGCTATTTATTCCAAAAGAATACCAACATTTAACTGAATGATGCACAAACCTAGCTGCCAACCCAAGCATTACTTTCTTTAGTATTTAAACTTCAATTTGGAAATGATTCCCCATACAGAATCAATCAAAATTAAAAAAAAAAAAATCAAAACTGCATTTAAAATACAAGCCAGATGCTTCCCTGGAGATACTTAAATCTGAAATAATGGAATAATACAATAACACAGGTTGAAAGGGATACCTGCACACCACCTAGCCCACATCCTGGTCCAGCTAATGATAACCGCAATGTGCCAACCAATGATTAAAAATATCTGAACTCTAATGACAACAAAGTTCAAGAAAGCAGACAGACATGGAACTGAGAGGGGCATACAGAATCAAATGGCCATAAGTGGTCACGTACAATGGGATAAGATGCAGACTGACCTTGTTTACTTCCTCTGGATCTTCATCTTTGAAAGTAAGGAACTGAATTTCACATGATTTGGTCAAGGGTCTGTACATATCCCAGACTTCACCATCCACAAGAGCTAGAACGGATTTCTTGCAATGCCATTCACTTAAGTCTAAAGAAAGTAAAAAAAAGTATTACACAGTTATTAACCATATTCCTCAGAGCCAGTACTTTAGACTCCTGCATTTGTAATAACAAACTGCAAGTTTCACTTTTGTAACTGACTTGTAAGAAAGAGCTGTTAACAGAGCCTCCAAAAATTAGTTCAGTTTCTGCTCATGTATTCTAGTACAAAGGTATTTTAGACTTACCAAACACAGATATTCTGAATGCACGCGTGTTATCTTGGTCACAAAACCCTCAATAATACTAGCATTTCATATTGAGACAACAAGTCCCAATAGGGCAGCACAATTTTCATCACAATGTTAGTTTAAGAGTCCATTCACTTACGCATGGCACAATTGTACGGAGTAGACAGAGCTTTGTTCATTACAAACACACTGCCAGGGTGCGATTTCCCAGTGTATTTGACTTCGATTTTCTCAATTCGTGGATAAAGAGACTTCTGCCTCTCCTTCTCTTTGATGAAGAGCTCATTACGCATCTGGATCACTTCATCGGATGTCAGTCGAGGAACAGGTGGTGTGCAGATGAACCCTGGTATAAGGAATGGCTTAAAATCAGCAGCAAGGAGTTTTCAAAGCCTCTTTACAAATGCTGGTTTCTAAAGAAAGGCAGACACACCCCTGCACTGCTAGCCCACGTCTCTCTCTCCATGGGCCCAAGGGGAGCACTTCAGCAGCTCTTAACTTATTCCTGGTCCCTGCAACGCCCGCATGAAGTCACAACAAAACACTCCGACGCAACGACAGCATGACGGCGCTCCCCCTCCCTCGGGCAGGGCCCTGCCGACGCCCACCGC